TGTAACGTATTTCTTTAACTTGACCCGACACCGATAGCAAAACATCCGAGAACGAACTATCTTCGAGAACCGACCTACGTTACCTTCGGCCGTCCACCCGTCGTTCGTGCATCCGCAAGCCAGGCGCCAGTCAATTCTTTTTTCACCGGGAACTGACGAGCCGGTATAAACTGGGAGTTGGGGTGGAACAGTCCCAACTCCACCAAGAACGAGAACTCTGACGGAACCTATCGGACGAGGCGATAGCTTAACGGATCCTGTCGGTTTTTGGGGACGCGTAAAATCAGCAAACGCTGATACACGAACACGAACGGGAGCGGACGGTTACGGAAATGCACGGCCGCTCAGGCTGCTAGGTTTGAGGTAGAGAGGGTCGGAGTAAGAGTCCGGCAAATAGTGCGAGAGACAGAGAGCGACGAACCGAGAACGTATCAGAACGAATCTTAACTATCTATCGTGATCCAGGTTTGAGGTAGAGAGGGTCGGAGTAAGAGTCCGGCAAATAGTGCGAGAGACAGAGAGCGACGAACCGAGAACGTATCAGAACGAATCTTAATTATCTATCGAGATCCCTTCACCAATTAATAAATTGGGAATCCTCACCGGAGCTGGTGCAGCTAATCCGTGGAGGCCGAGAACTGTATCCAAAGGACACTCACATGGTCACTGCATTAAAGCACAACACTACACTTTTGGAACACTCACAGGAATTCATAGAATTGCCTGGATATCGCGAGAACAACGCGAGAACTGTACGAACCGAGAACTTGCTATACCGTAGCGAAACACGGTAAGAAAAACTATCAATAGATAGCACGGGAGCGCGAGCCAGCCCGTGACATCTCGGTCGGTGACCCGAGACAGACTGCATAGAATTGCCTGGATACCGCGAGAACAACGCGAGAACTGTACGAGTCGAGAACTTGCTATACCGTAGCGAAACACGGCAAGAAAAACTATCAACAGATAGCACGGGAGTGCGATGTCCCTCGTGACACCTCGGTCGGTGCCCCGAGACAGACTGCTTTGACAATAGCCAAATCCGAGAACTAATCATTCTGATTGGTCGAGAGCCTTATAACCGATAACTCGTCTATCTCCTTCGAGTCGTCCCTTTAAACCAAATCGAGAGCGTTCCTTAACGAATCGGTACGTAACTTCTGGAGATCCTCCACGGCCGCTTCCCCAGGACATCGGGCGACAGCTGGGCATCACGTCCTCAACTCGGGCAGGAGGTTCCTCTCCTGCCCTTAACCATATCAAAACTACCTGCGCACGCTCTACAGCCCTTTTCCCACCTCGGGCTTCTGCCGGTCCGTGGAGACGTCTCCGTCGGGTCGCCTCCTCTGCCGGGCAACTCGGTACGTCGAGACCATCTCCCCACGGCAGATTCGAGCACCTCGACCTCAACTAAACACTAACGAAATCTCACGAGAGCCTTGACATAACTGTACGAATCAACCCGAGAGCGTAGCTTCTGAACAGGGTGGCGACCCAAAGGGAACCAGAAATCGAGAACGTTATCTGTATCGGTAACCGGAGCCGCCTTGGGACCGTGATTCGAAAAATCATGTCACAAAACATATCAATTTTTATTTTCCCCAGATAACTTTCCGACGGTGTTAGAATTGGTATTTCAATAAAACTGATGATACTGACACCGTTGGTAAACAGTTACCGACTGAATGAACGCATCGCTATCTACTAAAATATACTTATCGACTTCGGGAAGACGTCGGTCACTACTCTCCACGCCGTCGTTATCTCCATGCCAACTGTGTGCAACAGTTACCAGACATCGAAGGCCGATAAGGCTGACTTTTCACAAATATTTCCTCGGTAAGAATACTGACAACTTGGAAATGTTTCATGAGATTCATGGAAGATGGAGTTGGAAAAGCGTTGCCAGATCTCGAATGGTTATACCGATAGACAGAAAATGAATAGCAACCTTGTACAATCAGACCTTAATTCGAATAGTCCTTAAATAGACTTCTTCTGACAGACACCTACAGTAGACTTCCGATAAGTACGTGCTCGTTGTATCAGCGGTTCTCCTGCTTACACATACCTGTCAGTCCCCACTATCCGTCTCAACCAATGGCAATTAATGCCGCTCGCTTACGATTCATATTGCATTAAAAACAGTCGTAAGTAAAAACAAAAGCTAGTTACAGTATTCCTCCCTTATTATCCGATTCGTGCTTGCGTAACGGAAGTCTACAGTACTCGTATTTTATTGATGGTAATAATGGACGTAAGGGGAAAGGGATTATGACAGGTGGCCAACAGTATAGAAAAAGAATCGCACCACGCCAAAATGCCAACGAAATTCTCGCATGGCTGTCAAAGAGAATTTTGACCTTCGCACTCCGAATTGCGACGACTTTTCGGCATGATGCGCAACCACTTTAGTAAGACATAAGTTCTGTTTATATTTATTAAAAAGGACGAACAATTAGTGTCGATGATGAGAGTCTGGGGGTTGGCTCAGGCCGTAAGGGTGTTGCGATACGTCGTGGAATGAACATGTGAATAGACATTCTTGTAGTAACAGTAGCATACATACATAGAATCGTAGTTCCGAACACGATAGAAATCCGCCAATGTTTTTGCCCGAGAAGCGCGCGTACATCTCATGGACCAAAACCGAAAGCGCCAGAAGTCCTCTGCTTTGGCACTAAATCATATTATCGAATTCGCACTGCTTCACTTTTATAGACTGTTTTTTTAGGCGAGTCAGGTAATACTCCCCGTTCAACGTTAGATTCAGGTTTTAACAGCAGGAAATAGGAAGTCTCTTAGATAGGACTATGCGTTGGAAATTATGATATGGAAGTTATCATGTTGACAGTCCGTTTTACATTGATGAATTTCTACCACTCTAGAAATATGACGCTAAACGAGGGTTGTGACTCCGGTACGCAACCCTTTCGCGTAAGAAGGTGCTATTTTACCGCAGCGTTCGCGACAATCGATCGGCAAACAGCGAAAAGGAAAAAAAAAATGAAAAAAAGGAAGAGTACTCGAGCGAGGAACGGTGCGAAACTCGGAGCTCGGTGGGTTAGGATGTAGAAGGGGAGGTGAGGGTTGTTGGGGAGTTCCGATAAAAAGCAAAGAGAAGAGACCGAAAAAGAGAATAAAAAAATTGAGAGAGAGAGAGAGAGAGAGAGAGAGAGAGAGAAAAAGGATAAAAAGATGAAGTACGCTCCGATCCAGAAGTCTCTCTCGCGTCGATCTGGCGAATTCTCTGACGGTCCGTCTTGCTCTTCCTTGCACACTTTCCTGATCTCATTCCCATTGGCTCTTCTCCGTATATTTGTAGATGAAATCGTGAAAGCGATCATTGGCGAATTACGTGCGGGATCCTCGGATTACAAGACACAATCACATAGGTGCGAATGACTAATTGTAACGAACGCGTTCGAGTGACTCTTCGTTGTATCGTGAGAGAATCAAGTGCAGCACAACGTGCCCAGCGCCCAACTGCGTTCTTCATTTTCTTAGACGGGTCTGCGGAGTCTGAGGGCGATATGTTGAATGCGCATGGGCGCGAGGGACTTGCAGTTGTTTCCCAGGGACGGAGAGAGGCCCACGGGGCCCAACCACCTCTTAGCTAACGGTATCGGAGGGACTAATTTTTCTTTATCCTTTTTTGCCCACAAAAGATTTCACGTTTATTCGAATCTTCCGATCGTCGGTCGTGCTAAACGGTGCTGCCACTCATCGACACAGTTCTATTACGTCCTGATACCGGATAGACCTCTTGACACGTGTCCGAGGCTCACATGGATATAAAACCGTCACGAATCGACGCAAAAGTGCAGCTTGATTTCCGTGGGCGAAACTGGAATGAGAAGAAACGATTCGAGTGTTCTTCCAGTTGATGGCAGGCCCCCCCCCCCCC